GAAATAGTTTTTCTAGAGAACACTTGGATTTCATTGTCCTACTATTCATTTTCAAATGCAGTTCAAATTTGCTTGGCATATTTCAAAAGTCTTTTGCTTCACTTCAAATAAATCCCAAATCTTCATGGTAAAGGTCATTTTTACTCAGGAGAATGGTTTCAACTATATCTGCTACATACCCATAATACTGACCTATCAGATATCAGAGCTAGATATTACAAAAAAAATCATGAGAAACACAGATTTGTAACAATTATCTATCAATGAATTACACATAACACAGTATACAGTATCTCACCATGCTGGAGAGTCTACAGGATCTTCGACAGTTGTTTGTCATGTGCAGCCTTGTTCTCTCTTGGACTGGACAAACATTATAAAACCATATGTTTAGATAGAGGTGGAGAGAGAGAGATGGAGGGAGGGAAGGAGGACGGGATAGAATTCAATAATTATTTAATACAATTTTAGATACTGATATTATGCAAAGAATAATATAGAATTAATGAAATGTATCCAGTACAACCATTTATTTAGTGACCATTCAAGGTTTCAACAGGGCTGAAAAATGTGACTTCTGACAGTTTTTCACAATTATGACTGCTGCAGCATTCCCATGCTCAAGTGATCAAACTTTGGATATTTGGCAACTGACTCATATTTATGCAGTGTCCCAGAGTCATGTGATCCCCTTTTGCAACCCTCTGACAAGCTAAGTCAATGGGGAAGCCAGATTAATTTAACCATGTTGCTAATTTAACAACTGCAGTGATTCACGTAACAACTATGGAAAGAAATGAGACAAAATTTCTGAACTATTCTCTCTGCATCCGATAACCGAGCAATGGATTCAATCCATATGTTGTAATTTCTTGCCAGCCAGTGGATCCAGCAGCTGAGTCTGAGGAATCAGATGAGGAGGCAGGGCCTGGAGTGATATTAGAGTCAGAGGAAGACTTTGAGGAGCTCCAAGACTGGGAGCTGAATTGGACAGTGGTGAAGAACAGTTGGGACAAATCCAGGATGCATGAAAGGGCGGGCAAGAGAAGCGAGTACGACAGAGGAATGCAATGAGGTGGCTCCAAAGGCAAAGGAGAAGGCATTAGGAAGCCGTGCCTTGGCTGAATTATAAAGGCAAGGTGTGGGAGGTGCTGGTTGCTGAAGGCAACCGTTCGTGTTGAGGATCAAGTTTCTGTGGACTGTGTTTTTTTGCCTTGGACATTGACTCAGGTCTGTAAGAATAAAAGGGGTTGTTTTTTTCTTGCGGTTCCTGCCTGTTTCTTGGAAGAGGGGTTTCTCCTTGAGAGCATAACAAGGACTCACGTAGGCTGGGACAGAACAGTTTGCCTTTGGTCTTCTACCCCCTATTACCATGAAGCAGTTACATGCAGAGAATGCCCAGTTCTCCCAGCAGCTGGCTTTGCCGGCAGCTCAAGTTTCTCAGCTTCAAGCCTCTGCTCCTGCTGCTCCACAACCCTGAAGGAAGTGTCCAGTCACAGTGCCTGACAAATTCGATGGCACTCTGGAGATGTTTCCAGCTTTTTTGGGCCAATGCCAGCTCTTTATCAGCCTGAGAGTGGCTGACTTCCCCACTGACCGTGATAAAGTTGGGTTTATGATCACCTCCTCTCTGGTGCTGCACTCATTGGGGCATATCCCTGCTAGCCCAGCCTAGTCCATTGTTGGATAATTTTTTTGGGGGGGGGATTGTGACTATATGCGTCTTATATATGAGGACCCATTAAGATGCAGATTGCTATCCAATGCCTGATAGCTCTGAGGCAGGGCTGACGCCCTTTACAGGGATATATCAGTGAGTTTTGGCTGCTTAGCTAGGATTCAGCCTGGAATGAAGCTGCACTCGTGGATGCTTTTCAGGATGGCTTGTTGGAGGAGCTGTTGGACAAGCTAGCCCATGTCAATGTTTCCCAATGCCCAGTGGAACCGCCTCTGTTAGTAGAGACTATTTATGGCCGAGTGATCCTATCTGGCCAATTAAGGCCCCATGCAACCATTGGGTATGGCCATCAGCTTGCATGAGGAGGCTATTCAGTTTTATATAACCTCTGACCTTCATTTCCTGTGGTCTTGGGATTGGCGTGGCTCCAGACGCATGACCCACAGATTTATTGGTCCCAGAACTTGGTTACCTTTCCATGTTTACAGTGTGTGTGGACCACACCTGCCAAGTCTATGCCAGCCAGGTGGTGAGTCCCCCAGGGGTCTCCCTGCTTCTGAACTGCAACTTACACTAATTGTTTAGCGAGACTGAGGCAGATCAATTGCCCCTACACAGACCATATGACTGCCCCATCGACTTAGTTCCTGACATTTCTCTCCCCATGGTGCATTTGTATTCCATGTCAAACCTTGAGTTGGCCATGTTGCAGGACTTTCTGGAAAAAAAATTGGCTCAGGGTTTTATTTGGCCCTCATCTTCATCAGTGTCTGCACCAGTGCTTTTTGTAAAACAAAAAGTTCAGAGAATTGAGGCTTTGCTGTGACTATTGAAAATTAAATGCCATTACAGTATGTAATCGATACTCGCTGCTCCTTATTCCCAAACTTCTGAAATGGCTCCGGGAGTCAAAAATCTTCATGAAATTGGACAATCTCATTAGGATTTGGTCAGGTGATGAGTGGAAGACAGCATTTGGCACCCGGTACGGGCACTTTGAGTATACGGTAATGCCATTTGGGCTGACCAATGCTCCTGCAGTTTTTCAACACTTCATAAACGACATATTCTGGGATCTGTTAGATCAGTTTGTTGTGATCTATTTGGATGACATTCTGATCTACTCCCCTTAACAGGAGATGCACCATCAGCATCTCCGTCAGGTCCTGCAATGACTCCGAGATCATCATTTATATGCCAAACTGAAGAAATGCCAATTCTATCAAATTATCTACATACCAAGTGATCGCAACCAAAGAGCAGATGCTTTGTCAAGGAAGCCAGAATATTCCCGTACAGAAGACAAGCTTCTGCCCAGGACAGTTCTCCCCATAGAGTCTTTCTCTGCAGTTTGGGAGCCAATAGATGTACGGGCTTGGATTTGGGAGACACAACAGCATGATGCATGGGTGGCTCAATGAAGGGAAGAGTTGAGGCCAGACTCCCCATGGTCCATCATGGATGGACTCCTGAAATATCGTGATCAGCTCTATGTTCCAGGAGGGCCACTCAGAGGGCTCATTCTCAGCCAATGTCATGATAATGTGGTGGAGGGGCATTTTGGCCTGTTCAAAACACTGAACTTGGTCTCCATACATTCTGGTGGTCCTGAGTACAACACAAGGTCTAGGCCTACGTCACATCTTGTTTACAGTGTAGGCAGGCCAAGTCAGTGACGGGCCCCATCAGGTCTACTTCAGCCCTTGCCAATGCCCAAAAGACCCTGGCGGGGAAGTTTCCATGGACTTCTTGATGGACTTGCCCCCGTCTTCTGGCTTCATGATGGTATTTGTGGTGGTAAACATGCTGACCAAGATGGCACATTTCATTCCTTGCCGTGGCTTACTGTCAGCCTGTGCCACCATTTGAATGTTCATCCAGCAGGCTTTCCAGCTGCATGGCTTCCCTGATAGGGTCGTTTTAGATAGAGGGGCTTAATTTATGGCCCGTTTCTGGAAGGGGTTGATAAAGGCCCTAGACATAAAAGTCTGTTTATCATCAGCATATCATCCGCAAACTGATGGTGGGACCAAGAAAGTAATCGGAATCCTAGAACAATACCTGCGCTGTTATGTGAATCAGCAACAGGACAATTGGACAGACTATCTTGCGATAGCTGAGTTCGCATTTAACAAGTCACAGCACACCTCCACGCATATGACACCGTTCCTGGCCAAAGTGGGATATCATCCACGGCTTTTTCCCCTCTCACAGCTCGACTCACCAGTTCTTGCACTAACAAATATCTGACTGAGTTACAACTATCCATCAATTGGTGCTGCGACAAGTAGATAAGGCCAAGATGGATTACAAGAAGGTTACCGATCAGTCAAGGTGAGATATGCCTACATTAACGGTGGGAGATCATGTGTGGCTGTCAACCAGGAACCTGCTGTCAAACCGGCCTGCCAAGAAACTAGACCACTGGTACCTAGGACCATTCCCTTTCAAAGTCATCATTAACCCAGTCGCTTATCAGTTAACTTTGCCACGGTCGTTACGGGTACATCCAGTCTTTCATCGGTCTCTGTTGGTCCCAGAATAACCAGCATGTCCACTCTGACAATCAGAACATCCCCCACTGCAACAACATGACAGAGACAGTGCTCCCGAGTATGAGGTCACCAGTATTCAAGACATCCATTAGCTGAAAAGCTGATTTCAGTATTTGATTGAGTGGAAGGGTTATGGACCAGAGGAGTTCACCTGGGAGAGTGTGACCACTGTCCATGCTCCTACCTTGGTCACAGTGTTCCATGAACAGTTCCTTTCACAACCGCATCCGGCCCGGCAGACCCAGGGGAAGGGTCCTGCACTGCGGGATAGTGTTGTGATTGCTCACCAACCAGTGGATCTGGCAGCTGAGTCTGAGGAATCAGATTAGGAGGAGGGGCCTGGAGTGACATTAGAGTCAGAGGAAGGCTCTGAGGAGCTCCAAGACTTATAGTCGGATGAGGAGCTTGGCCCCTCTACTCACGCTCAGGCTGAGACACAGCTGTGCTGGGAGCCTGAGTTGGACAGTGATGAAGAACAGTTGGGAAAATCCAGGATGCATGAAAGTGCAAGCAAAAGAAGTGAGTAGGACAGAGGAATGCAATGGAGCGACTCCAAAGGCAAAGGAAAAGGCATTAGGAAGCCACACCTTGGCTGAATTATAAAAGGGAAGGTGTGGAAGGTGTTGGTTGCTGAAGGCAACCATTCGTGTTGAGGATCGAGTTTCTGTGGACTGTGTTTGTTTGCCTTGGACATTGACTCAGGTCTGTGAGAATAAAAGGGGTTGGTTTTTTCTTGCGGTTCCTGCCTGTTTCTTGGAAGAGGGGTTTCTCCTTGTGAGCATAACAAGGACTCACGTAGGTGGGACAGAACACCATAGCTCAGTTCTCAGCTGCAGAGGCCTTGCAGATGAGCTATGGATTGAATCTATAGCTCCATTCTTGGCTACAATGGCATTCCAGAAAGGTCTCTGACTGCAAAATGCAGGCCTGGGGATGCCACAGAAGAAGTGGGCCAGCGAGGAGAAGCCTGGCTGCAAGGTAAGTGGGTGTAGGGCACATGCGGGAAGCTCCACATTCCCACTCCCGCCCTAGCTTGATTTTTAGATGTGCATCTCACCCCAAAACTAAGGCTTAATTTTCAGTAGAGCTTATATTAGGTCCATCCCCAAAAATCAAGATCAGGTTTATTTTTGGGGTAGATCTTACTTTCAGGTAAACGTAGCAACAAAATATTTGGGCTCAATTGGATCATAAGTTGAGGACTACCTGTAATATATTCAATTCATTTAAACTATGTTCTTATTCCTATATCTTTCAGATTTCTTACTATATGACTTTAATTTTAATTAAGGACATTGTTACTTGTGTTTTTATCAGCCCCAAATCTTTCAAATTAAAAATACCACCTATATGAACATACTGTAGAAATGCAAGGTGAGAATAATTGCTCATAAACTGAATCATAGTGTGACTAATTTTCTCAAATAATTATTCTCTTAAAGAAAATGGAGAAAGTTACCTACTAGAACCAGCTACAGATAGCTTTCTATAATTGGAATTTCCATATGAAAGTCAAATATTTATTTCTAAATATATGGAAAGATTGAGTATTGGAAGAGCTTACTTTGTTCCATATTATTCCTCTTACTAATAAGAAAAGCAATGTCTTAAGTATTGGAGGTGTGGCCTAGCATCTCATGAGCTACTTGATTGAAGGGTATTCAATATAAATTGGCAAATAATTTTGATTTCATGGATCCTGGGGGGGTCTTGAAGGACTTCAAGGAATCTTAGGACCACACTGCATTATGAAAACTTATACTGCTTTGCTTTGCATCATACTAGATTTTTTGGGGAGGAGGGGAGTTAGTCCTCACTTACCAATCACAATTGGGACCAGTCACTCTGTGCTAAGTGCCATGATTGTTATGTGAAAGATCACATGATTTTATTGGACTTATAACCTCACTTCCACTTCCATCTTTAAGTGAATCACTGGGATATCATGTGAGCATGACTTGAGATTTTACTTCCACATTATCCAGGAATTCTGCTTCTAGTGAAGCACATGAATGGTGATCACATGACTACAATCATCACAAGTATGTGCTGGTTGTGATGCACCCAAATAGTAATCATGTGACCATGGGACGATCATAAATACAAGAATTGATTGAAAAGCTGATTTTTTGTTGTGACTTTGAATGGTGGCTAAATGAGGCAGTCAGTAAGTGAGGATGAGAGAGAGAGAGATGATAGAAAGAGAGGCAGACAAACAGATTTGTTTTTTCTTCTGTTCAATCATGTCCAATTCTCAGAGATTGTCTGGATAAGTTCTTGAAGGGGGGTTTTTTTTGGTGATTTTTTTTCGGAAGTAGTATGTATTGTGTTCTTCCTAAGACTGAGTCACTTCAGAAAGTGACTGATCCAAGGTACAAACTACACACAATTTGGACTTACTTTTAATAAGTGTGGTCTAAGGTTTTGTGAGCTAATGAATAAATAAATGATAAAGGCATAGCATGGCTCTTGTTAATTATTACTCCACATGGGAAAGAGATGACCAACTAGTGCTGTGAAATTTTCATTTAGAATTTCTGCTTTTTTGATGAGGAATCCAGATGCTTAATCCTATTTCATATCTGCCAAATTGAGTGGGCCAGAGTGGGCCCTCTCCAGTCTGAAGAGGAATGAAAATGCACATTTGTATTCTCCTGCCCACAGGGATTTGCAATTATCTCCACATGAGAATAAAAGGATTTGAGTACAATAATTCTGGCCTTTAAACTGAAATATCTTCTAAATAAATATATAAAACTTTCATCACAGGGCTGGTATATAAATGAAAGAGATGGCATTGGAAACCTCTGTATATATGAAAGGCTCTCACAACTATTATTTACACTACAGGAATGACATATTTATCAACATTTTCTTTGATGCCGATAATATATATTTCTTGGCTAGAGAATTCTTCCTGCCCTTGTAATTCAGTCTTATCACTTAATGGTGTTGTTGTTAGCCGTAGGCCTGGTAATCTGTTAACAGATGATTTATGAACAAGATAGACAGGTCATCGTGTTCTATGCCTTATTCTACTTTGGTAATGGTATAATTGAAAGAAATATTTCTGCAACTTTGAAATTCAGAGAACAAAAGTAACATAATTTTCATCTGTTTCTTTTTTCCTTAGCCACCCATGGTCTTACATGCTGTTTGAAAGGGCCTTCATTCTCCATTGCAAAAAATTGAGAGGCCCAAAGAAAGAAGAAAAAATCAGCAAAAATCACATCTTCCCTTTCTCCCTTCCCAATTCTGAGAGCCAGAAATGGTTTGTTCCACTGGCAGCACTCATAAAATCTCCAGATGCACTCATAAAGTATTAGAAAACAAAATGAGATAAATAACAATCATTTTTTGATAGTCACATCCTCTTTCTTGTCTTCCTTTTTCTTCTTTGTAAGTGAAGAGTTTATTTCATTCAGATTTGGTCTTTCGTTTACAGTGCTCATATGTACAATCTCTGGACAATATATAACTAATTTCATATATTTTAAACAATTTCCTGTGCAATTTATAAAATATAAAATACAGTGAAATGATTAACAATTACAATACTAGAAAACATTGCTCATTAAATAGTTGTTTTGTAGAGGGGAATGAAACAAAATCAAAAAATCAAGTTATCCAGCATTCAGCAGGCAAGTGTGGAAAGTCAGCACCCACTCACCCACCCCCCAAAGAGAAGAAATATTTTGGGGAATATAATATTTTGCCGAAGGATCTTAAAGGCAGAAAAGCAGGCCCAGTTTTTCTTAATAGCCCCAAGCAGAAACTAAGCAGGCCAGCTCTGTAGAAATGCAGATTTGATAATCCCATTCAGAAAGACTGAATTCATGAGCAAATACTACTGGACAGAAGCCTGTTCAAGGCAGGATCTTTCAAAATCCCTTGCAAGAACAACAGCAGAGTAATAGGATTAGAACCAGCAACCCCTCACCCCAAAATCCAACAGAGAACTTAGCCATCAGCCACAGCCACAGAGAAGTAGGATATGACCTTTAGGACATAGTAGGATTAACTCACCACCATTAGAATACCAGAAGAGCACAGTCAGGTTCAGGTCAAAGTTCATGCCACAGGAACAGGAACTCCAAACACAAAAGCCCAAGAAAATAAAAACCCACCACTCCCAGCTCCATTTTTTCAGCCACCCCAGAAACATGCTGTTGTCACTGAAGTTTCTGGCAAATAAATAAACAAGAATCTTCTTTCTAAAGCAGTTTCCATTTTGTTTATTCCCGGCTAGAATGGACCCTGATGAAAATTTTTCTTTCAATATAAGCTAAGGCCCTGGGAAGAGTGCAGAAAAGAACAATAAATATGTTAAAGGGTCTTCTAGAATCTAAATCCTATAAAGAATGCCCAAAAGGCACTAAATATGTTTACCTTAATAAAGAAAAGACTGAGGTCAGCTGTCTTCCAATACTTGAAGGGCTGCCACAGGAAAAATAATGGAGGTAACGTTGGACAGCTTACAACATCGTAAATGCAAAAATACAAAACATGAAAGCATTAAATATTAAAAACTAACAGAAATTAAATAAGTTAGGAACAAGAATGTAAAGGTATGGAAGAAGGATCTTCTTCCTAGTCCACTATCTTCAGTGTGGAATGTCCCCATCAGGGCTCCAGTCTAATTGATAGAGCCAGGGTTTGAGACTCTTTTAAAGGCCAAAAGACTGGAATTAGATCTCATTTTGAAGGGTACAATTTTCCAGGAAGTAGGAGCCATGGCACAAAAAGCCCTTTGTGGGCCCCCCTAGCCAGAACTCCTTAACAAAAAGGGTCAACAGCATGCCTCTTCTGCTGGAACAAATACGGCAAGGCAGTCCCATTGGGTCAAGACAGTTCCTCAGATAGCCTGAACTATGCCATAAAGGATTTTATATATGATAACCAACACCTTTAATTGGATTCAGAAGCAAATCAGAAATCAGTGCAGCTTGCACAACAGTGGTGTTATATAGACCATAATTGGGACGTTACAACTATCAGCATGGTTGCATTCTGCATCAGTTGTAGTTTTTAAATACTCTTCAAGAGTAGTCCCATGTAGAGCATTATGATAAACTTATAGGACTAGGTAGAGATCTGATACTGGATTCTATTATTTACACAAATAAATGCCTCTCCTTTTCTGGAGAGCTGTTTCAAGTTGCTAGAGCCTGGACCTCCCACACTGAAATGGGAATTCAATCATGTATGTGCAGTGAGAAGTGAAACAAATAATCAAATTTTGCTTCTCTATACTTTTCCAATTCACATGTTAAAAAAAGAAAGTAGGATTTTTTTTTAAAAAAAAAAAACAACTTGTTTTGTTAGCCCCTCCCCCTCGATGGCTATGTCAGCTTGGACAGGGGCATATTTCTTGGAACATGTCCAGTCAGGTTTATACAGAAGCATGCTTGTTGGGTGCTTGTTGGTGCCATAATTTTATTTTGGTACTCTCGTAAGGAGAAAAAGAGAAGTGATTATACACTTTCTTCCTGAATGCTAATGTAAGAGTAGCAAAATAAACAACCACAGATAGCCACCTATGATTTACTGTAGTTAAATAGTGTTTGAGTTGAAGAAGCCTGGTCTATTTCTGTTACTGCTTGCCTTGCCTTGAGAATATAATGAGTTGCATATATAAGGGGTATGTTTACTTTTTATTAGTGATGAGGAAATCCAGTTCAGAAGTGGCATATTTCAATTTGATTCAGCACTCTGAGAATCAAAGGAAACTTAGTTATAAATCTACATTGAGTTTGAAAAGTCTATTGACAAAAAGCTTCAACTATATACCATAATGAGGAATCATTAAAATCTTGTGGCTGCTTTATTATTATCTGTTCATAACAACATGAAGTCATAACTGCCACCATCTAGCTGATGTTGGTTTTCACACGCATCAAGTTCTTCCCAAGAAACTAAGATATCATAATATATGTGTGTACTATATGTGCGCATCCAAGTAGTATGCCCTTTTGCAACTGAAACATGGAAATTTTGTCAGTGCACAGATTTTGCCATTCAAGTTTATTGGTTGGGAGTACCACAGCTGGTTTATGCCATATCTTACATTTTTCATTTTCAGATCTTGATATGTTGTAATTTTTTTTTCATTCTTTATCTTCTATTTTATCACATCAATTATCCATACATTCTTCTTTTCAACCACAATTATATCTGCATGATATGAGCCAAAATTTTTATTGGTCTGTATTCAGAAATCCCACAATGTTCTAACCTGCTCGTTTTCAAACTACCTTTTCAACTATAAGTTTCCACCAGTTTTTCCTAACTGGTAATGGTAATTTTTACAGATGTTCCAGTGAATCATTTTGGCAACTATGTTATGTCATTGTTTATAATTGGTATGTGCAAACTTCTTGCACAAGCTTAGTATTTAATCTGTTTCTTCTGCTTCTTTGCAAAATCTCATTTTGAATCATTTGATGATTTTTCAGTTCTGGTCTTGATTTCATTAGTTGAAATAGCATGCCCTTCTGCAGCCAAAAGCAATCCTTCAGTTTCTTTTTTTTAAATTACAATTGAAAGTCATTGCCAGACTTTATCTTTATCCAGTTTCACTTTGATCTTTTGAAGAAATTGACCATGTAATGCTTTTCTTTGCTAGCATTCTGTTTGCTTTTTTGTTATTATGTTAGTTGGTTATATAGTCAGCCAGATGTTGAGACCGAATTTGCCAATTTTATCCACCCACTAAGTCTTTCCAAAGGGTCTGGGATAGGCAGATGTGTGATATTATATGGTATTAACTATTTGATTGATGGGGATTTTTTTCAGTTAATTCAATGGTGTTCAAATGGTGCTCTCTTTGTTTTGGGATTGCACCCAAGGGGTCTATTACTATTGGTATTATCTTTATTTTCTTTTACCACAATAATTCTACTTCTTGTCTGTTGCTTTCTTCTTAATTTTATTTTCATATGCATTTGTTCTTAAGGCTTGGTCTTGTGTAGCCAGAATTAGCCCCTTTGTCTCTCTCTTCAATTTTTCTGCTCTTAATTATTGCCAGATCTGATCGTTATATTTGCTATTTTTTTAATGTACTGGCTGTATTATACTTTGCCATAGTGTATCTCTGGTCAGGATGGTCAGGATGGTGTGTGTGTGTGTGTGTGTGTGTGTGTGTGTGTGTGTGTGTGTGTGTATTTATCCTTAATTACATTAAAAATGTGAATCCTGGGTGTGTGCATGTTAAAAAAACAAAAGAAGAATCGAACACCAGGACGAAAATATAAGCAAAAGCTGTTTAATGTAAAACCACTTAACTTTCGTCAGCCAAACTGCCAATGCTGTCAGAGTGAAAGCAAAGGATCTGGAAGTTTACTTAAATGGCTGGCTGATTCTGCACCCTGCTCTTTGAGCGAGTCACCGTCCACTCACTTTGATCGGCCGTAGTGCTTTTAGTCGTCCCACATCTATCAGTATATTAGTGGGTTTACAAGCTGTTTTCCTGCCTGCAGTCACTCTCCTAGTGCGCGTACAGACCTTAGTGGCTGGCCATCTGGCCACTTTAGTTCTTTGCCCTCCTCCCCCCTCTCTTCTAACGGAACCTGAGCGTCCCTCTCAGAATTGAATTCGGAGTGCGCTATGGATTCATAGTCCTCCTTGGTGGGCGCGATTGTTTCACCTACAGCCCCGCCGTTCCAATCCTACAAGGAGCGGGGTGGTTGCATTCGTTGTGAATTACAGTGCTGTCCCTCCCACTCCCTAAGTGTCTGGTAAGCAGGTAGAAGGTCTATATGTGGGATGATCGAGTTCTCATCAGACAGCCAGGCCTCCTTGAGCAATCGGGCCCCCTTGGTGGCATCTCGAGATATGGCCTCAGCGTTGGCAAGATCAAACATGTGGCCATGACTGGCCATATTAGCCCATACCTGTGAGCGCTGCTCTTGTCTCCTGATCACCAACTCATGTTCATGGATCCTGGTTTTGAGCCTTTTGGTTGTTTCCCCAACGTAGTTACATGGGCAATTCTTACACTTGATTCTATATATAACAGAAGATCTTTCATCATTGGGGAGCGGCTGTTTGGGGTGCATGATCATAGTGCACAGGGTCTGGTCCGGTATATATACAAATCTATACACATGTGGATGGGTGGGTGGGTGTATGTGTGTATACATGCATATATCATACTGACTATACTGGCCTACAAGAAAGAAACAAATAAAGAACAGAAAAGAAATACAGTATGGCAAAATAGTATATATATAAACAAATAACCTTTCTTGGTTTAATTAAAAAATATACTAATTGGCCATGGTGCTGCAGTGGTTATAATGCAGTATTGCAAGCTAATTCTGCCGATTGCCAGCAGTTCGGCAGCTCAATTCTCATCGGCTCAAGGTT